GCCTCACCTGGAGTACTGTGTCCAGTTTTGGGCCCCACACTACAAGAAGGATATGGAAAAATTGGAGAGAGTCCAGTGGAGGGCAACAAAAATGATTAGGGGTCTGGAGCACATGTGAGGAGAGGCTGAGGGAACTGGGATTGTTTAGTCTCCAGAAGAGAAGAATGAGGGGGGATTTGATAGCTGCTTTCAACTCCCTGAAGGGGGGTTCCAAAGAGGATGGAGCTCGGGTGTTCTCAGTGGTGGCAGATGACAGAACAAGGAGCAATGGTCTCAAGTTTCAGTGGGGGAGGTCTAGGTTGGATATTATGAAACACTATTTCACTAGGAGGGTGGTGAAGCACTGGAATGTGTTACCTAGGGAGGTGGTGGAATCTCCATCCTTAGAGGTTTTCAAGGCCCGGCTTGACAAAGCCCTGGCTGGGATGATTTAGTTGGGAATTGGTCTTGCTTTGAGCAGGGGTTTGGACTAGATGACCTCCTGAGGTCCCTTCCAACCCTGATATTCTATGATTTGGCGGAGCCAGATGCGGTGAGGCGGGAGTTGGGGGGAAGTAGGTTGGGGGTGTGAGGAGGGGGGTTTAGGGTAGAGGGGGTCGGGATGGGGGACAGGAGTTTGAGGGTAGACAGCCAAATGTCAGAACCAGGGGACAGGATTTTTGGGGGTATGACGGGGGAGAGGGTAGATGGTGCCCCCCAGGAGAGAGTTGCCATTTCCACCCCTCGGCAGGTTCCCCTCTCAGTACCCCCTCCTGCTCCTGACCCCTCAGTCCTGGGTCCCCCACTTTCTTTCCCCTCAATCTCCTGCCCCCACAATGCCCCGCACCCCCTTCTGCCTCACATTCCCTGAGGGAGGGGATAGGGGATGGGTTGGGTAGAACAGGGGGCATGAGGGGACACAACTGGTGGGTGAAGGGACATAGGACGGGGGCAGAACTGGGTGGATGGGGACCTGAGGGGGGGATGTGAGGGAACTACAGGGCAGGGGGCAGAAAGGGGGGACAGGGAGATGAGGGG